CAACCAACCCAACCAACCCAACCCAACCCAACCCCAACCCAACCCAACCCAACCCAACCCAAACCCAACCCAACCCAACCCAACCCAACCCAACCCAACCCAACCCAACCCAACCCAACCCACCCAACCCAACCCAACCCAACCCAACCCAACCCAACCCAACCCAACCCAACCCCCAACCCAACCCAACCCAACCCAACCAACCCAACCCAACCAACCCAACCCAACCCAACCCAACCCAACCCAAACCCAACCAACCCAACCCAACCCAACCCAACCCAACCCAACCCAACCCAACCCAACCAACCCAACCCAACCCAAACCCAACCCAACCCAACCCAACCAAAAACTAAATCAAATCTTACCTAACTAAGCCTAACCAAATCTAACCTAACCTAACTTAATCTAATCTAACCTAACCTAACTAAACTAAATCAAATCTTACCTAACTAAATATAACCAAACCTAGCCTAATCTAACCTAACCAAATCTAACCTAACTAAACCAAACCAAACCAAATCTAACCTGACCTAACCTAATTTAACTAAACCAAATCTAACTTAACCAAACCAAACTAACCAATGTAACTAAACCTAACCTAACCAAATGTAACTTAATCTAACTAGACCAAACCAAACATGACCTAACCTAATCTAAACAAACCAAGCCTAAACAACCCTAATCAAACCAAATCTAACCTAAACAAACCTATCGTAAACAAAAATTGATATTGCGCTCCCACTCCAAACGCTTTATCGCTGATTCAAGCTCAAGAAAGTCCAAAAATTCATCGCCTGATGTTGGGCATGCTCAGACTTACCACCCAGTCAGAGCGCACCACAGAAATATAAGTGTTTCTCTAATGTAGCTGGTTCACGGCTATACTCGTGTATACTCTTTGTTTTAATTATTTTACCTATTGTTAATGATGTCATATATGAATTTGTCACTAATATTTTTGCCTTCCCTTGTGCAGTATATGGAAGAAAATGACAATTACACTGTTATGGATATGACAGACTACCTGATAAAAACATACCGTGAATTTAGAGGAAAAAGCAGAATGACTTTCATGAAGAGTGTGGACAAAGGTAAGCTGTTTTTCTACATGTAATTTCATCCAAAAATTTGGTTCTTGCTATACATGATGTTGACATTTATTTATCTGTAGATATCTTACATGATGTAGACATTTATTTATCTGTTGATTATTTTTATTATGAAATAATCTCTTTCTGTTTATTTATGTTTTATAAGATTAGGTAGAACAAACAGATAAAAAATGTGCTTGTTTCAGTAGTTGCAAAAATAAAAGCTATACCCTGGCATTTTACTTACATCAGTGACCACTCTGATGGATGAGTGGTTTTAGGCTAGGTGCACATGAACACTCATGAGGAGTATCAAGACTCCTTGCCTTCTCATTGCAATGTTATTTTCTTTTTGTCTGCATGAGTGTTTTTTGCTTTTTTGCCATTTTCCAATGACTATTTGTCATTTGATATCCAGATGGTAAAAACAGTTTTCCTTGCACAAACTATATCATCTCCCCTAGTAATTCATAACTCAGTGGAATAATAATGACAATGAGTAACAAACATTTTTTTATTTGTGTCATTTGAATTATTTTTTTGATATTCAGTTGTCTGTGTGGACAGGAATAGGATCCTGATCAAAGAAAAAGAGTCCTCCCAAGACTGTTGGTCTTCCAGTCATGGGCTTACTGATGGTACATTTCACACTTGTTTACGGATAGGAATAATGTAAAAGCCCACTTCCTAAATACCCACTGTCTAATCATCCTTAAGAAGCTTTATACACTCGTGGCAGTTAATTTCTATGAGGGGCAAAATTCTCATGAGGCAAGTTCCCCTCACCCTGGCCCTCATTTTCATGACGTGATGGTCACGTCATCTGGATCATAGGGGTTAACTAATATAATTATTTTCAGATATTGATCATTCTTACTTGATAATTGTGTTAGTTCTTGCTACAGCAACACGAAAAGGGAAAAAATCTGGATCCATATGTATCGTAGATACCAATGTAAAGTATATATTTTTTTATGATAATGGAAAGTTATTTGTTTTACAATTATATTTTAAAAATTCCTCTGATTGCACTCAACAGCCTATCAGTGGCAGAAACAACGGCTGAAAGAGAAACAAGAAGATAGCATATCTGAAGACATAGACGACAGTGATGGTGGAGGCCCTGACATTATTGAGGTTGAAACACCAAAGCAGGAAGTAAGATTTTTTGCTCCTTTTGCAATCTCATAAATGATTATACATATTTTTTAGGATGCAGATATTTTCATCTTGTACTATTTTCTTTGGTTGAATTATAAAGGTTGAGCATTATACCATTTGTTATAGTTAAAAATCAGTACTGTTCTAAAAGTCATTTCTTGGTCTTTGTATAGTAACTTATAGGGATAGATTTTATAGACAAGAAAGAAGGAAAACTAGAGACTGACACATTATTACCTATATCTTGTATGAAAGTACTGCCATAAACACAGTAATTTCAAGTAAATTCAACTATTTTCCATTGTATAATCAGTGCATGCATAGACTAGTGAATGTGCTAATATTTTTGTTTAAGATCTAGTTCTTTTCAGATAAAACCCTTTATAAAAAGGCAGCGCAAGAAGCACCAAGTACCCTCATCAACAAGTACTCCCATGTCCGAACCAAAGTAAGATCTGCACTCAGTCTTCTCATTTTTTATATTTTGAAGTACATATTATTCTTAAAGCATCTGTTGTTATTGATCCTCATTGAAAATTTTCATATGATGATATCCTCAAAACCTTAAGCATGAATGTGTAAATGAAAGTAAGATAATTTTCCTAAAATTTTAAACTATAAAATACATATTTAGATGTATTTGTATCTTGATATGTAAGTAACAAAAACACAGTAATATACTAGGATATGATATGATAGATTTTTTACCAATTTTAAATTAAAAGATGTAGAAAAAAATGCTCTACAAACTGACAAGAACATCTTTTATGCTCTTTTTCTGTTTTTAACTATTCATCCACAGTTAAGGGTTTTTGAAAAATTATGGATACTAACAATAGTTCCATTAATACCAGAATACTCATCATGTCATTGGAAGTATTATTTGTAGTCACATTGACTACTACTACCACTATCACAGTTACTACTGTTAAAACAATTACTTCTGCTACTAATATTACTGTTATTACTATTACTACTGCTGCAACTATAATAACTAAAACTATGCAAACAACAACTACTACTTTTACACAAATCACCACCACCTTTACACAATTACACTACTATTTGGACTGTTGTTACTGCAACTAGTACTACTACTACTACTACTACTACTAGTAGTAATGATATTGCTGCTGCTGCAATACTACTATTACTGTTATTATTACTATTACTATTACTGCTGCTACTACTACTATTACTATTACTACTGCTACTACTATTATTATTATTATTATTATTATTATTATTATTATTATTATTATTATTACTAGTACTACTACTGTTACTATTGCTATTGCTATTACTATTACCATTACTATTACTACTATTACTATTACTACCATTACTACTGTTACTATTACCATTACTGTTACTACTATTACTATTAATACCTTAATTACTATCACTACTATTACTATTACTACAACTAGTAGTAGTAGTAGTACAATTACTATGTTATGACTACTACTACTACTAATACTACTACTAATACTAATACTACTAGTACTACTACTGCTGCTATATTTTGTGGTTATAATGAATAATTTTGATATTATGTTACCAAATATTGTAAGCCATAATTCTTATTTCAGAATGAGGGATGACTTCTTTGTGATTGACACTACAGGTGGTGATATTTCTCTAAATGGCATCAGAACCCCAGAGGTAACTATATTTTTACAGCGTTATTTGTTTTCTTAAATTTTTGTTTTTAAAAATTCTCAAATTAATGAAATACTATTTGATTTTGTCAAAAGTCAAACAGTGGGGTGATATCTTATTTTATACTATTGATATAATTTTCGTCATTTATGTAGGACTATGTGATTTTATAGTGTTGTTAATCTCGAAAGCATTTGTGTCCTATGTAAAGGTCCAGCTGAGGGTTAGGGAATGAGTAAAAGATTTTTATTTGCGATATTTATAAGTCTCATCTTACACAATTAGATCTACAGATTCCCAACATGCAACTTGAATTATAAGAGTAGGAGTGATTGTTTAGTGCGCAACTATGGCACATTTCCCATAAGTTTGTGTTGTTAGAAGGAACATTGAAGGGCAGGGGAAAGGTGGAGATGAGATGAATGGGGCTACCTCACAGCAGGATAAGAACAGTCACCTGCGGAGTGCTCCGCCTTTGATCTCATGATATTCCTTTCACTTCTATTATCACGGTTTCATTCGGAATGCATTATTATATATAATGGAATGAGTATTGCCTCTTTTTACTTTCAACTTTCTATCATGTTTTCTCGTCCATCTTGTGTTCAAGATTATAAAGTCATCTTTATCTAACTTTACTCTTTTTGTAATATAGTTGACCAGCATAATCATGTCCACCCTTTTACTTCTTTCTTCCAAACTAGTAAGTTCTAATTTCTATAGTGCTTACGTACGTAGGTGCACGCACACTTTAAGGGTGTAGGTCTGTGTGCAAATATACACATATGTCTGTGTAGAGGAAATGTCCATACTATCTTTCATGATAAAACAAATCCTCATTTCCTGTAAAAAAAAAAGTGCATACACATGCTTAGTAGATTATTGATACACATAGAATGCATGTGCACAAACACAAAGCTGTACATACAAATACACATGCACAGCATGTTTGATATGACAACAATCATATTAGAGGATATACATCATAACTGAACTAGAGTATAATTAAAGCAGGCAAAGTACAAGATCTAAAGCTCCACATTCCATGAGGGAACTGTGACTTTATTTGATCACAATCTTGTTATAGTGAACAAGGCAGTTCATGAGCAGTGGGAGGAAGGCCTTTATTCAGATCAGTGAAGATGTGGCACCAATACTTACATGGAAATTGTTCAGTTACCTATATCAATCAAATCATAAAACAAGTTAAGTTTTTAATAAGGGATATATGACATGATAACATCAGTCATCACCACAGACTAGTGCAGAAGCAAAATAATCAAGTACAGAAGAAAATTGACATCCTCTTTAAATTATATACTCATCCTCATCCTAATCAACCAGTATGTAGTATGCAGCAAACCCTGATCTGATAGATATCTTTTAGGGGTAAAAGAAGACAGTTGAGATGATATTTGTATTTTATGCAGTGTTATCTGCATCCTTCTGTTTTATGTTGTGAAAAATGCAGTGGTAGGAGATATTTGATCTCTCTCTTCTCTCTCTCTCTCTCTCTCTCTCTCTCTCTCTCTCTCTCGTCTCTCTCTCTCTCTCTCTCTCTCTCTCTCTCTCTCTCTCTCTCTCTCTCTCTCTCTCTCTCTCTCTCTCTCTCTCTCTCTCTCTCTCTCTCTCTTCTCTCTCTCTTCTCTCTCTCTCTCTCTCTCTCTCTCTCTCTCTCTCTCTCTCTCTCTCTCTCTCTCTCTCTCTCTCTCTCTCTCTCTCTCTCTCTCTCTCTCTCTCTCTCTCTCTCTCTCTCTCTCTCTCTCTCTCTCTCTCTCTCTCTCTCTCTCTCTCTCTCTCTCTCTCTCTCTCTCTCTCTCTCTCTCTCCTCTCTCTCTCTCTCTCTCTTTCTCTTTCTCTTTCTCTTTTTTCTTTTTTGTAATTCCGATTTTTTTTTTTTACTTTTTTGTTTTTTTGGTTCTTGTCTCTTCTAGTTGCCAAAAAGTGTCAAGATGAAAAGGAAAAAGGAGAAAGACATTGATATAGATGGAAAGAAAAGAAAAAAGAGACACCAATTGCAGCCTGAAACACCAGAAATCACTTTTGGGGGTATGGCTGGCCTAGAATCACTGAAAGATGTAAGTTTATTACTGTTATTTTTATTTTTATTATACTTGAGGTATCTGCCAGTATATAGCAGAGAATCCATATTAGTTTTACCTAGTTTTGTCATCTTTCCCTGCATTCCTCATATTACATTTTTTTAGGTTTGTATGTTGATTTTTAATTGGTAGAGTTTGATTGAATTACTGAATAGTTTAATCCGTATATATATTTTTGTTATTATTGTTATTATCATTAATATTATTAGTATTATTGTTATTGTTAAAAGTTGTTTGTGTTAAACAGTTTTTGCTTTTTTGGCCTTGCCTGCAGTCATTGATGAGTTACAGCCTCTCAAAATTGGGCTTTAAGTCAGTTCTAATTCTCTCATATCGTACAAATACTGTAATCTTTACTAGTATTTGGCTTTATTTCAGCTTATTGGTCTTTTATGATATTTAAAAGGGTTTCCCTATTGATCTGGCATTTGGAAAATGTAAAAAGTAATAATAATAATAATGATAATAATAATTTAGGGAGTAAAAGCTTGTTATACCCATATATTGAGGAGTTCTACTATTAAAAACTGCCTTGAAGTTGAAAACAAAAAAAAAAACAAAAAAAAAATCTTTAATACTATTTTGCTTCCTCAGCAAATTTGTGACTTGCTTGCAAATCTTCGATGGCCTGGAATTTTACAGCCTCTCCAGAAGTCAGTGCTCATCACTGGCCCGACAGGAAGTGGAAAAACTACCTTTGTGCAGGCACTGGCTGGGGTAAGACTCTTCCATTTTTTGGAATTTACTTACATGTATCATGCTGTTACCATGAACTTGATATTATTAATTTTTCATTTGTTGTAAATTTAAAGAGAATCATTGATGCAAATGTAAGAGCATATGTACAGTCCTGTTCTGTAATTTTATTGAGTTGATATGTGATATACCTGTAGCCTTCCTTTTTTTCTCAACCAGACTGCTGAGGTTTCACTATTGCGCATCACAGCAACTGAATTAATTGGTGGAGTCTCAGGAGAGAGTGAGGAGAAGATCACTGAGGTGTTTGAGCAAGCAGCCTCACTTGCGCCATGTGTGCTTTTGATAGAGAAGATTGAAGTTGTTGCTCCAAAGTTGATGTCAGCAAAGAGCATGGAGAAAAGAATTGGGGCCCAGCTTTCTTCATGCCTCAACAGTGAGTGTTGGGAGGTCTTTAGATGCTGAAGACAGTGGATCAGGCCACTTATGTTGACAGTGAGAAAGAGAAATTTCTTTCTTTTCTGTTTTTTCTTTCTTTCTTTCTCTGATATTTCTGTCTTTCCTTGTTCTTTTATTTCACTACTTTCTCTCTTCTTTCTTTCTTCCTTTTCCTTTTTTTATATATTATCTTTAAGGTACATGTATAGTTAGATATTTTACATTTGCATCCTAATCTCAGAGTTTGATAAACTACAGGGAGTTCTCATATGTATTTTTTTTCTATCAGAGTCTACAGTAGTTGCTATTTTTTCTTCTTTATAGAATCATTAATTACTATCTGTAGATTTAAACAGCGATAGGCCTTGCAAAATAATTAATTGTTGCTACAGAAAGAAAAAAGTACAGTTATTGAGCCTTCCTCTTTGTCTTCTCTATCCCCCAGATCTCAAAGTCAGGCACAAAGATACAAAACTGCTGGTGCTAGCTGAAACAAGTTATCCAGAAACCCTGGACTTGGATCTCCGTAGCAGTTTTGACTCTGAGATATTCATGAACATTCCAACAGAGCCAGCCCGAGTGAAAATATTGCAGGTAGGTTCAGGTTGTTCATAATAGTTTACTTGTAGGTATGTGCATATTGTTCATTTACAGGTATTTTCAAAGTATCCTTTTGCAGATATGTTCAAATTATTTAGTTGTTGGTGTATTCTATTTTTGGGGGGTATCACAGATGTAATTATTCTTTCTATTTCTATTTTATTTAATTAAGATAAAGTTTTCATTTGTGATACATATGTGTCAGCAGATATTTCTTTAATGAAAACTGTTAAGCATAACTTATTGACTGCAATTTTGATTTGTGGAAGTAAGATTAAAAACAAAAACAAAAAAATAAAAAGATAGGTCAGCTAATGAAAATACTTTTGACGACTAACAAGAAACTTAGTAAACACAAGACAAGAGACTTAACTGAGGCCTAAAAATGTGGGTTATGTTATAGAGAGTGAAACAAAAAAAATAAAGATTTTTCACGCCGAGCCTTTTTCCATGCCATTATCATTCTTCCACATGTTATCAGTAACATCACAACTATTGCTAAATAAGGATGAATCATAAAAGGTGTATATATATGTATTATTTACCAGGCTGTTCTTGAACAGTGCAGCAAGAAACTATTTGCTGTAAATAATTACTGTTCTGGATACCCAGAACAAATAAATCTTGTGAAATATATATGGCTTGCATGGCAGCTAAGAACAATGGGTGTCTCGGTTTGGTGCAGGATCTTAATTGTTACCTCTGTAACAATTAACCTGTCAAATGAATTTCAAAAGCAAATCTTGTGGTTATTTTTGTTTTAACCTTTGAACATTGTCTCAGGAGTCTAGTAGTTTAGTAACTTTATTTTACAGGTGATGTGCAATGGAATATCTTTTGAAGGGAACTTTGAAGAAATAGCCCTCAGAACTCCTGGATATGTTGCTGGAGATCTGAAGAAGTTGGTTGAGAAGTCTCAGGGATTGGCATGGAAGAGGTAACACTTAAAGAAAGTCTGGCGTCCATGAACGGACACAGGTCCTGTTTTGGAATTATTCTAAACGTTATGTTATATGATTTGTGTGCAATATGCAGAGAAACTAATTTTTGATCTAGAACTTTTTCAGCTTTGTAGGTTTTGAGGTACAACTACACAGAAAAATTATAGGAGGGGTGTTGAAATATTCAATAACGGACAGAACCTTATGTAACATAAGGGTTGGTATTTTGGTTTTCAAATTTTTCTCATTGATTCATTTCTTGAATAGCTGTTCCAGAATTTATATGGATTCATTGTGAGATGATGATTTTATTCCTGTAAGGGATGAAATGTGCCTTGCAATATTCAGATAAGCCACACATACCTAAAAGTAGTTGGAAAATCAGGAATACCAACAGTTTCATAGTGTTAACAACTATATTTCAAAAGGTATCATTGCTTGTGTCAGAATGTTTAGCAATATTTCGTAACAATATCTTTATGTGTAGCTTTACATCATAGAATGAAAGAATTAATATCACTACAAGTAGTTAAACTTTTTCCAAATGTTAGACATTACATGTTAACCCCAATACAGAAATCTTATATTTTATTTCCATAATATGCAATATGTATTGAGTTAATTATCTTGCAATATTGATAATGTGTATTGTGATATTCAATCTGATATTTATTTTAATTTTTCAGTATTTTTCTGAACTAAATGATTGTTTATCCATTATTCAGGAGAAAGGATTGCCTTTATGGAAAGACAGGAGGTGAAACCTTAATGGAAGAAGTGAATAGTTTTCTCAAACAGTTTGGAGAAATGTGTGAATCAGAGGCTCCAGATTCCATGGTAACAGTCAATATGGAAGACTTTTTGGAAGCGCTATTGGTAAGTCAGTGTTTCCATTTACTTTAGCTTTTGGCCTTGAAGCGTCTCTCCTAAGCCTGCCAAATCCCCTCCCCACCACCTGAACATATTTTTAATGGGATTCTACCTCCTGATTTTTTGTTTTCATGTTGACTTTCTGAAACTGAAACCTACTCTAAGACATTTTTTGAGTTTTATGTAATGTAATGTGCTCTGTTGCTCAATTGGCTAAGGTACTCAATTGTTCCTAGCACAGGGGGAGGTGGTTACATAATAGTTCCTATAGGTTGAAGCTAACATCAGTTGACATCAGCCCATCATATTTATATTTTAAGTTCCAGGGCTGGGAACATTTTGAAAAGAAATGAGGATTTGTAGTTATAAAAGAATAAGGTATTTCCTCAGAATATCAGACTTAGATATTTTCTACAGATATTTAGATGTTTTGGATTTTGTTATATCTCCGTATTGTCTGAAATATTTGATATTGTTTATTACCATTAAACAATGGCTAGTTATCCAACAGAAAATCTCTTGATTGTAGATTACTATGAAAAGGGATTGTGAACTCATCCAGAAGAGAACAAAATCACTTTCATGTGTAATTATGTGTTTATGTGTCTTTGTGTATGGACTATACATATGTACATATTCTGTATGTTTGTATGTATACCCTCACTCTTTATGTAGACTTGGGACTACTTTGAGTACTCTGTATGTTTCAGTAGAATAGAAATAGAAACACAGTAAAAGGGAAATGCATGGCGTGACAGAGCATAGCCATGCACTACCTCTAGTAGGCATTAGCAGGATGATGCCTTAGCCAGATGACAGCATCTCATTTGCTAAGCCATGTTTTGCTAAACAGATTTTTTCTAACCTGATTTATCTCCATTATTGCTATTATTGTCTTTGTTTTGCCTTAGTCATGATGCATTGTTATGACACCAGAGATACATTTTCACAAAATGTATAGATATATACATTTTCTCCTTGGAATTTCTGTTATTTTTTTATGTATATGCATTTGTTTGCTTTGGTGTGCAGTCATTTAAGTCATGTAAAGGGTAATCAGTTCATTAGCAAGTATGAGTTATATCAACAGTGTCACAAGAAATTTCAGAAGATATGGTATAATGTTGTTTTGTTGCAATATGTCACTGAAAATCAGTTTATCCAGAGGGACCATTTTTTCTTTTACTGTGCTTCTTTAAAAATTATCTTATTTAGAGGGAAGGTGGGGACAATGCATTTTAAAGGTTTTAAAAATTACTGAACAGCTCTCTTGTGTTCCAAATTTTAGTCAGAAATCTGTCCAAAATATTGTAATCTAAAAGTCTTCAGACCTCAGTTTTCCAAGTGACTTTTTGCTTGTCAAGAATGAAAGGTTAAAAGTTTGAGATTCCAAAAATAGAAAATCAAGATAAACCCATTAGTCCATGTACTGAAATAGTTAGATTATTAGTTTTATTACTAAATCCCTTGAGTTTGATGGTACTCTGAATGTGTTTACCAGTTAACTTTTTACATGTTAAACCAAAAGGCATCCAGTGTTGTGTTGGCGTGTGGTCCCCTTTCTGTAAAGCATATGATATTTACAAGTGTTACTGTGTATTTGCATTACTTTATACAATGTGTACAATATACTCAGAACTTAATTTTGATTTTTGATGAAAAAGGAGGGAAAATAACTGTGTGTGTCTGTTTGTCTGTCAGTCTCTGTTTGTCTTACATGTTTCAGAATGACCATTTTCTCTTACATTTTTAACAGCACATAATACCAGCATTGAAAAGAGAAGGATTTCCTACCGTACCAGACGTCACATGGCAAGATATTGGAGGATTGGAAGATATAAAAAAGGAATTAAGGGAGAAGATATTGGTGAGTTTTATATTGTATTTATTATGGATCAGATAATTTCCTTCAAACATGGTACTAAACAGTTATAAAAGTATTTCAATGTAATTACATGTTTGTCAAGATACTCCTCAATCTCAGTCTCAGTGGTTTTAAGTGTAGGGCGCTAAAAGTTAGTGCATATTATGCTTATGGGATAATTGGTTGTTGGGGGGATAAAAAGGGGGGGAAGAAAGCTAAGTCTTAGTGTTTTATGTGTGGGTTCTGAGATGCATTAGTGTAATTTTGTGGAAGGTGTCTGTGTTGTTTGCATGTATAATATGTTGTGGGAGTCTGTTCCAGTCATGAATGGTGCATGGGAAGTATGAGTGTTTACAGGAGTCTGTACTGGTGTGATATGTTAAGTATTTCTCATTTTGGGCATTTCGTATGTTAGGATGTGTTTTATGTTAGGCGTGTTTGCGTGGTGTAATTATTCTTGTTTGGTTATTTTGATTTGTTTGTGTGATTTTGTACATAATTGTTAGTCTGTGTACTTGTCTGCAAATTGAGAGGGCGTCCATGTGTAATTGTTTTTTTATTTGTTTGTGATGAATCTGACTGCTACGGTATTAATTTTTTCTAATTTGTTGATGTTTGATTGTGTGTGTGTGAGTCCCACACTGCTGCACAATATTCCAGTATTGGACGGACAAGGGTGTTATTAGCTATGTTTTTAGTGTCTTGTGCAGAACAGTGTAAGTTCCTCCTCAGGAAACTCAGTGTTCTGTTGGCTTTATGTTATATATTGTCTATGTGTGTATTAAATTTCATGTTAGCATGTAGTGTGATGCCAAGGTAATTGTGTAATGGTGTGTTGGGTAGTTAATGTGTGTGGATTGTGTAAGGAACTTTGATGGGTGATTGCGAGTGGGTAAAGTTTATGGCTTTGCATTCATCAGGTCAGAAGTCCATTTGCCATGTGGCTTCCCATTGCTCGAGGGATTTAAGGTAAGTTGGTGGAGTTTGCAGTTGTCGGGTGTCTTGATCGGTTGGTAAATGAGACTTTTGTCAGTAAAAAATCTATCTATAGAATTAGGGGTGGATAATGGGAGACCATTTATACAGAGTAAGAAAAGAAGTGAAAACACATTGGGTCCTGTTAGAAAAGAAAGCTATTATCCAGTGAAGAGTTGGTCGAGTGATTCTGTAATATTGTAGTTTTTGAGTCAGTCCTTTGTGGGGGGGGGACTGTGGCAAAGGCTTTGGCGAAGTGTAATATTATGGTGTCAACTTGTTTCATGTCACTTCTGTCCAAGAGTCTAGAAATGTTGTGATGAATGACAATGAGCTGTTATCACATGATCATTTGGGTCAGAATCTGTGTTGTGTGTCGATTAATATGTTGTTTGTGTCAAGATGATTCATAGCATGTTTGTGCATGATGTGTATGAAGATTTTAGAGACGATGAAGATGAGAGAGATGGGGCAATAATTGGATGGATCAGTCTGGTCAACTGCTTTGTAAATAGGGGTGACATCTGCACAAAGCCAGTCAGATGGGAGAGAGAATGTTCTTAGGAATTGAGTGAATATGATTTGGAGGATAGGGGGTGAATATGGGGGCACAGGTTTTAAGGAAGAAGGGAGAGATTTTGTCAGGACCAGTTGATTTGTTGTTGTCTAGTGATTCAAGTAGTTTATGGATTCCATCTGTCCTTATTGTCATGATTCGGGATGGATGGGTAGGAGCTGTTTGGCATGTTTGGTATTGTAGAGTTTTCTACAACACCAACTGTGTGTTGAGTAAGGGTGATTTGAGTTCTGTTGTGGTGACAAGAGTATCATTGTGTTTTTTAAGTGCATTTATGTTAGTGGTGTCCAGTATATCTGGGTGAATGACCTGATGCAGCTGACATACCAGCCAGCATGCTCAGACTGGTCACAACAGATATTACACTGGATGGTCCTTTGCCCCCATTTCACGGCTTTTGTACATAGCACGCAAGGGTGCCTTGGTTGGTAAGGGCCAAGATTAACAATAGCACCAGTGTCTCCACAGAGGAGAAGCAAGAGAAGGATGGCGTGTCTAGCATGTGGATTTGTATTGTAGTATGTTTTTGGACATCGTGTAGCAGCAAGAATGAGTGTTATGTCAGTGTTTGTATGTTCCTTGTGTGTGAGGTGATGGGATGTAATTATCTTTATGCATGAATAGTAAGTGCTAAAAGTGAACTTGTTATGATGTAAGAGGTAAGGTGTAGTTTTATGTGGTGTTTTAAGTGAGTTGTTCTTACCTTCTGTGAGAGTGTGTGTGCAGTGTTGTTCTGTTGCCAGCTGAGGTGACACTGGCTTGTTGCTAATCATTGCGACTGGAACAGTTGATTGTGACATTTGAACACCGCCTTACTAAAAAGCTACTATTTAAAAAGTCAAGTGCTTAAAACCTACCATTATAAATTAAAAAGAGTATGAAAAAGGTAAAACAATGTTTTCTAGTTAAAAATTTAAAAAGGCAGGTATGTATCAATTTGTACAGGTACTTAACTGGGTGGTAAGAAGGGAGAGGTAGAAGCTAGAACAGACACATCTGACTGCCACGGAAGCCAACAACCAACCACCAACTTAATACATATTCTTTATATGTGGGTATTTTTGTCTATATGAATTATAATTTCAAGTGCTATAGAGGGAAAAAATTACTTCCTTATATTTCAGGAACCTATCAAATATGCAAAGCTTCATGAGGAGTTTGGTGCGAGTCGACCCAATGGAATATTGATGTGGGGGCCTCCAGGATGTGGCAAAACCCTTCTAGCCAAAGCAGTGGCAAATGAAGCAGGAATCAATCTTTTGCCAGTGATGGGACCTGAACTCCTTAATATGGTAAGATGATATGCCATGTAGAAAATAAGAAAGAAGGTAGGAAAACAGAAAGAAATAAAGAAAATTAAAAAAGGATGAAAGGGGAGGGAGGGAAGGAGGATGATACACCTGGTTCTCACATGATGACCATTTTCTAGGTTAACAACCCAGTCATTAAACAAAATGGTGACTTGAAAATCTGTGATACAGGCTTCCAGATATAATATACATACAACATTAGGCTAAACTGTATAGTGACAGGAGGCTCTAGAGATACTGAGCAATGATCCACTGGCATGTTGATACACCCAGGTGCCATACCAACCCTTTTGCCTCACCCCCTTGGGGTCAGTTGGTGGGATTGAAAAGAGGCTACTGGCACTGTCTCTTTCTCCAAAAAAAATGCCAGGGAGAGGATTAATATTCCTTTCACCTCTTACACATCAACATTACAAGTATGCAGGGCAAAATAAGCAGGAACTCTACATGTGCATGCAGGGATGTGTGGCTTGTTGGCCACTCTTGAGTGATGCATTTCCAATGTAGATGACAGATATAACATTCACTCTTATGTTGCTGCCCAGGATTTAATCTCAAACATACCATCTAGCTGGGGACTTGAAATATCCACTTTTTCTGACAGAATAAATGACTGCCATTCCTATTATGGGAACTGAACTAACTTAGGGTAGAGGTGGCTACCTATTCAGAGGCAAAAAGACTTGACTGACTACAGTCACTGTTGGGATTAATTTTTTTTTTACTGGTTAGACTGCAGGAGTTATCACTATTTCCAGGGGAAGCCATAACTTCCCTCAACAGACTACCTTACAGTGGTAGAGTTAGCTTTATATTGGCAGATGGTATTGAAGCTAAGGAATTCCTTCAGTTTCCTGTTTCTTATTCTCAGCCTGAGATGAAAGATAAAGGAATGGGAATTTTTGGTAGTGTACAATTTATTATTTACATATGTATAAGATTTTAGGGGAAATGACATCATAAACCTTTTATTTTACCAATGCTATTCTTTATTTACAGTATCAAGGTGAGAGTGAACGGGCAGTGCGAGAGGTCTTCACACGAGCACGCAATGTAGCTCCATGTGTGATTTTCTTTGATGAATTTGACTCTCTGTGCCCTGTCAGAAGCAAAGGAGCTGAGGTGAGGTTACATCTGTAATCTGTTCAAAGCATTTATTGTAATTATCAAATTTAGACACGTTTTAGGAGTATTTGCCTTACATCATAAGTTAATTTAGGCCTACCAACCTCAGCAGAGGTGACTCACCAGTGCATAATTATGATATTTGTAATTTTCATATTAATCTTTGTTATTTACTATATATTTCTAAATCCGGTAATGATTAACCAAATGAAGTGATGTAAAGTAAAAAGATTGTGTAATTTATATGTAGCATTTCTATTCTTTTTTCCCATAAAATGTTTATTGCTGATATTGCTTCATATTGTCATTTTTACTGTTGGATTGATAATGTTTTTGGTAATACTAAAATTATATGGAAATCATTGATTTTATTAGCTACTGTAATTATCATTATCATTATTATTACTATTACTTTTATTATTATTTTATTATTATTATTATTAATATTATGGTTATTATTATTATTATTGTTATTTTTATTATTATTGTTATTATTTTCATTTTCCTTACTTTTTCTTGGGCAGAACCCTGAGGCATTTTTTTTATGTCACAAGTGTAGAAAATGAAAATTTGAGATTGTCTTTCCATGTGACTTTTCTTTTCTTTTTTCATTTTTTCTTTTTTCTTTTTCTTTTTTACTTTTTTTTATGATTCTTCCTGGAAGGATTTGTGGGAATCCTGGTTTGGAATTGCTGGTCAAGAACACATACAATTTATTGAACATCTAAATAGATACATTGCATATGCACCATTTCAGACTACTCAGATTTCTACCCTCTCTGTTTAAAATGAATTCCAAGATAACTAATACAAAATCTTACCTTGGCAGAGTGGAAGTAAAACAACAATTGTAAATACACTGCTGACAGAGATGAATGGCTTCTCAAAAAGAGAAGATGTGTATGTTATTGCAGCAACAAACAGACCGGACATCCTGGACCCTGCCGTGACTCGACCAGGGAGATTTGATACTCTGCTTTATGTTGATGTCCCTGATCATGAGGGAAGGGTTTCTATCTTTCAGGCAAGAACTAAGGTAAGTGTTCTTTTCTTACATTTTCTTCTTATTTATTTCTTAATTTTTTAACTGGGTTTGTTTGATGTTGTGGTATGTGAATGTGCCCATAAGTGCGGCACTTGAATTTTCATTGAAATTGCAATATGAGTTTTTTTTAGATAATTGATTAATATTGTAACACACACACAAAATATATGTTATATATGTTTCCCTTCTCTCTTTTTCAGAATGGAACTTGTCCTCAGTGTGCCCCAGATGTTGACTTTGCAGAAATTTCTCTTCAGTGCAACAATTTCTCAGGAGCTGATTGTGACCAGCTGGTGTATCTAGCTAGCAAAGAGGCCATCAGGGAAGTTATTCATGGCTCCCAAGACATCTCTTCTGCTGACAATAGTGATAAAGAGCCCAAGACACGTTTGGTTGCAAAGCGGCATTTCTCTGCTGCCTTAAAGAAGATTAAGCCGTCCATTAAACCTGAGGTAAATGTGTTTCCTGCTTTTGCTTTTTGTATAGATAATGTCAGGTATACTGTACGAGGTAAGATGAGAAGCTGTAGAGCATATCTCTAATAGCATTAATGATGAAATTAGGTTATGGAATGAAAGCATTAGAATGGAACAAACTTACCTGTCTCATATTTCTGTTATTCCTTGACCAATCATTTTGATTGAAGTAGACAAATAAAAAACAAATAATGGAAGGAAATGAGATACAAACAATGAAAGAGTTTGAGAGGGTATTTTTTCAACGCTTTGTAATTACTTGTTCATTTTATTTTACAGGAACAAAAGCGTTACAAGAAACTTAATCTGAAGATGGGAGCAGTTCCTTTACAAGAGTCTGCAGGAGGAACCAGTCAAGATGCAAGTTTTATTGATGCAGATAAAGAGTCTCAGCCAATGGATATATGAGATAAAGAGTGAAATTAATATTGCTATTATTGTAATTTCTGTCTGGAAAACCCTTAACACACGAAAGCTTAATTTATATATATATATATATATATATATATATATATATATATATATATATATATATATATATATATATATATATATATATATATATAT